TGCATATAAAGAGGAGTTCAAGCACCACCACTAAATTCTGCTCCAGGAAAAGAAAAGAGAAAGGAAAGGAAAGTTTGGACTATTTTAAGCTCAGAAGGAAAAGAAGGTCAGGCTCTTATAAGTCAGATGTGCCTGTGTTTGAACTCAGAGAGGTGTTTTTGGGTTAAGTCTGCAAGTGCCAGGTTTTTTTTTTTTTTCTTCTTACACCTGCAAGGTAAGAACAGAGAAAATGAACAAAACCAAGTTATAGAGCAATTATGTAGCTAAGTAAGGACACTGCAGAAGTCCTACAAATTCTAATGCAATGCTTCACTTAGTGCAATCATGGGAGGAGGGGTAGTGAATGAGCACATTTGGAAGTCATAAAACAGATTTAAGCAGAGGATTCAATGGAGCAGATAGATCCCCAGTAATTACTGAGCTGAGCTGCAGGGTTTCTTATGTGTGGATTTGTGATATCGGAAATTACAGCTGAAGCAAAGTTAAAGCAATATGAAAGCAGGCCTGGCTCAGCTGCTTTGCATGGGGATTTAAAGTGGGAAATATTTTTTTGGCGGCTTTTTCAGGCTTTTCTCAATGAAAAAAAAAAAAAAGCTGAAACTTAAGTCTACAGGAAAAGAAGGTTAAAGGAGCGCTGTGCAGCTATGTGCTTCATTCTTCTGCTTGAAGCCAGAGCTGCCCTTGTCGTTCCTGGCAGATCCTAGGATGCCACCAAAGCATTTCTGGGATGGACACCTTGTCTTTCATGCTGCAGCCACTTGCAGAGTCTGATTCTCTCTCTACTTGAAGTGGTTTTTCCTTCTGTCGAATGGAAATCTTGCCCTACCCCCAGTGGATACGGGCAGGTCATTTGCTTGCTCTCTTCCATTCATCACCTTTTTGGTACAAGGACAGATGCTGTCCCAGCACACTCTCCCCTTGTGAAGGGCTCCTCTGGGGCTCTGATGCCAAAGCAGTGAAGGAGAGGGTGTTAGATGAGTTTATCTCCTCCCTGTTACCAAAGTTAGGGCTAGTAAGTGTAAATCTCATACAGATTTGCAGTCAGAAAACAAAAGGTATGTTGTCTAAAGTCTGTTTTAGTTTTCCTGTGCTAACCAAAAGAGATGGGGGGGGGGTGGGGGGTGTAGATGCTTCCCATCTTATGTTTTCCATAATCTTTCTGTTAGTGAAGGCTCCTGTTCTCTGTTTACAGGTCCCTCTGCTTCCCCTATTTCTGGCCCTGCCCCAAGGACAGGTAAGGTTATTTTGGCAAATTGCTTTATTGGTGCCTTGTACCATGGGAGCTTCATCTTCCACAAGAATCTTGGCGTGAGAGGGACCTACAGAAGAGCTAATGTTTCTTAATAAAATGCACCTGGGATTTATGGCAGCTGAAGCAGTTTTGTCATTTGTGTAATACTGTTCACTGAAGGATTTGGAAAAAAGATTCTGTCTGATCACTGATGACTTATTTCAAAGCATGAAATACAAAGTGCTAATTTAGGGAAATAATGGGAAAAATAAATACAAATTAAGTTTTTTTCCTTTTCATTTAGATTTCAGAACTTAAACCATCCACTTTCTTTTCTTCAAAACAGAACTTAAAAAGGTTTTTTTCAATGTTTGGTTCTCCAAGCCACACAGTGCTGGAAAAAAGGGATTTAAACTCTGTTCCTGCAAGAGGGGCCCTGACAAGCTACCTGTATGTTGGTGAGCAGATCTCAGATATTTGTGCTTTGGATTTGGCTCATTAAACCTCTTTAAATAGGGATGCTTGCCCCAGCCCTTGAAGTTGGAAAAAATTGATAAATGCATGCAAAAGGTAGCAGTATGAATGGCTCTGTGCATTTAACTTTTTAGATATTTAATTTTTTTTTTTTCTCCAAAGAACTTGAAAGGTTGAGACTGCTTGTTCTTTCATGTTATAAATGACTAATTTGATTAAGGTAGGTAACCCAATGGCCTTTGTTGTTATTTGAAAGGTTATCGTGCACCTGTAACCAATGTGGCTTTAATGATTTACCTGTTTATGTCACTGGTATATCAGTCGTGAGCATTTTGAATGTGTCCTACTGCTTCAGTAATCAGTCTCTCTGAGTGTGATTGTTATGGAGACGTGCACATATAGTGATATAGGTGGATGGGCTTTTGCTTGCTTCCTGGTAGAAAGTAACTTTTCCAAAATCAGTCCAGATTGAACATAAACGTATTCTGGGGGGGTGTTTTTTCCAGTGCTGGATTAAACACTGTCAATAACTCCAGCTGGACGTGACATTTTAGGAGGGCTTGATCATTTTTTTTTTTCTTTTTAATTGTAGTCCATGCAGCGAGCTGCAGCCGTGAGCGAGCCGCAGCTGTGGTGAAACTGCTTGATATGTGAGGAATGTTAGACAGCTCTGTGACCACATCATCCTCCACGAATAATCCCTGCTGCACCACAGGCATCTCATGAGGTCTGCTGCTAGCGGTACCCTGCACCCCGAGTAGGACTTTCTGCAGCTCCAAAATCTAGGTCTGGGTGGGGAATGATTTAGAAGGGCAAAGGAGGGGGGCAAAAGGCTTTTGAGCCCTCAAATGTGGTATGTGGCTGGGAAAAACAGTCTGTAAATGCTTTCAGTGAGTCCAGTGCAGCCGAAAGGTCTCTGCTTGCGCATGTTTTTGCTCAGGGCTGGCACGTCCCTGCAAGTGCTCTCAGTCCCAAGTGGTGTGCTGCAAGGAGGCAATGCAGTCGTTGGGGCTTTTACCACCCTCCTAATGGAAACGGCTGATTAGGAAGCTTTTTGAGAAGGAGGGTGGGAAGGAAATGGTGTGCAATGCCCTGACCTAAGCAGCTGGGGTTGCTACAGCAGGTCGGTGGAGGATCTATATAAAATGCCCTTGGGAGTGTTTTATAAAGCTATGCAAGTTTCCCACTTTTCCTCGTCAGGCTGTGATGGAAGCAGGAGCAGACGTGACGTTTCAAGGCTTGTGGACCCATTTTCACCATGCATTTACTTTGCACATAGGCTACTTAAGAGTTCCTATCTTCACGAAGATTGTGAGATCTCAAAGATTTTGTGTTTATTTTACAGCAAGAGGTCGTTAACTTCTCTGTCTCCCCATCCTGGTATTTGATGATGTCTGTTTATTGGCCTGCAAGGAGAGGAGTTGGTGTCAGTCTAGTTTCTGGAGTCCTCCTGTGTTACTGTGATTAAAATTGCTACCCGAGACTGTTATATGGGCCTAGATGTCCAGCCTAGTGCTTTTAGCCCTGTGAAAACATATGGAGAGAAGATAAACAAAACCACAGTACTCAGAGCAGTATCTTTATTTCAGCTACATTTCCAGACAGTTGTGGATAGGCAAGGTACAGCAGTGAAGCAGTTTGTCTAGCAAGAACTTTTAATGTATCCTTCATACAAATGGCTTGGGATGCAAACAAGAGACTGGGAGAATGGGCAAGGGGAAACTGGGGAAAACAATGTTACTTGCTGCTGCATGTACCTTTCCATTGTTATGTCACCTATTTTTTTTAGGAAAAAAAAAAAAAAGAAACAAATCCACTAAAAATGTTGCTGCTCACAGTAAAGCAGCTTTTTTCTTTCCAGCTTTCTTCTCCGCTTGCCAGAAATGAGGGTGCTCTAAGATGGTATGCTATGGGATGCTATAAGCATGGCCTCAAATTCCAGCCTGGCAATGAGCACTGTGAAAATGGATCCTAAGGCAGGGCCCACCATTCTCTTTAAAATGGGAAACACATATTTCAAACCATTTTGGATGTTCTTGTGTGAGAAATATTGCTAGCAATATAGAAGTCTAGCAAATATATAGCATGTGGCTACAGCTGTACTTAAAGCTATGTGCCTCTGAAAAATCTTTGCCAGATGGATATGCTGTTATTTATCTAATTCTAGCATTATGTGGTATGAGTACTGGGGCCAGCTCGGGGGCCCCCAACAGCAGAAGGACCCGGAGCTGCTCGAGCGGGGCCAGAGGAGGCCACGAAGATGCTGGGGGGGCTGGAGCAGCTCCCCTGGGGGGCCGGGCTGAGAGAGTTGGGGGGGTTCAGCCTGGAGAAGAGAAGGCTCCGGGGAGACCTTCGAGCGGCCTCCCAGGGCTTAAAGGGGGGACAGGGAAGGTGGGGAGGGACTCTGGATCAGGGGGTGGGGGTAGGACGAGGGGTAAAGGTTTTAAACTGAAAGAGGGGAGATTTAGATTAGATATAAGGAAGAAATTCTTTTACTATGAGTGTGGTGAGGCACTGGCCCAGGGTGCCCAGAGCAGCTGTGGGTGCCCCCTCCCTGGAAGGGTTCAAGGCCAGGTTGGACGGGGCTGGGAGCCCCCTGGGCTGGGGGAAGGGGGCCCTGCCCGGGGCAGGGGGTGCCACTGGGGGGGCTTTAAGTTCCCTTCCACCCCAAACCATTCTGTGATTCTATGATTATGATCTCAGAATGTAATATTACATGAAATGGAACAAAAATGTAATTTAGGGTAAGTGTACTGTGCAAACTATTGTTATTAACCCTGGCGTGTTCTTGCCTACCTGAGTGGAGCAGACCTGGTATATGTGCTGGTGAGTGTGGACTCTTATTAGTAATATTGCACGCTGCAAAGATACCCAAGTATTGTTGTAGGAGTAATGGCATTCCGTAACTAGCACCCAGATAAGTGATATCTGATGATCCTTAGATATAATTAAAATGTCTTCTCTAAAACAGAGCAAAGAAGTTCAATTTTTGCTACCAACTTGGCAAACTCTTTAGGGATGTTATTGGGGACCTATGCAGGGCTGCAGGACTGGAGCCTTCTGCATGCACCTTCTCCAGGGCACATGAGGGCTGAAGCCTTCTCAGTATTTGTATAGCTTACATCACCTTGAAACAGTCACCTCCATCCACTCAAGTGTCCTTGGCATGGACAGACAATCCTGTCAGCAGGCCAGGAGGCTTGTAATCCTTCCAAGTGGAACTAGACATATGCATTTCTAAGAGGGAAGACACTAATGTATCTACCAAAGCGCTGAGCCGAAAGCTGATAAATGGCTACTCTACAGCTGGCTTGATTAAATGGCCATTGAAGATGATGTAAACATCAGACTCCTCGCTATAAATGGCATTTTCTCGCTCCCGCTTGAACATCCTCACCCAGACCTCCTCTCCCTCCTGCAGGTCCAGCATGAGGCTCTGGCTCTGCATGATGCTCCGATCACTGGGCTGGGCGTAGAGGATGGCCACCTCTTTCTCATTCTTCATCAAGTGCAGGTAGGTCTCCTTGAAATTCCAGGTGTGGACGTTGAGGCTGAAGTAGTAGATTCCTGCCACATAGCAGAAGAACTTCCCCGAGAACATATTGAAGTGCTTGTAGAGGTTCACAAACTCGGTGTCAAAAGTGACGTGCTGGAAGTAGTCTGAGCTGTGAAGGGTTTTCCTCCGACCCACTGAGAAAGCAGCGTAGAGCTGCTTGCAGGAGTGGCCTTGTGGGCCAGGCTGGCCTTTCTGTCCCTTCCGTCCATTAAGGCCACGCAACCCTCTTTCTCCTTCCTTCCCAACTGCTCCAGGGTACCCTTTCTCTCCCATTTCGCCCTTCTCACCTGCAAGCATAAAGGAAAACCTTGTCAAACACAAGCACGTGAAGCCCAAGCTGCAGACACATCGTGCTGGAGACAACCAGCAAAGATGCTGCTGGAACAGTGTTTTCCCAGCACAGATATCTGGGAGCATTGCTGAGACACCGGCACCTTCCTAATTATTAGGAGGATAAAAATGTCAGATGGAAGCTTGGCTTCGCGGAGCTTGTGGTGCCAATGTTCAGTGTCCAACAGCAGAACTCCGTGGCCTGACCAGACTGGTTACATGAATCCAGTATTCACGAACCCAACCCTTTCATGCAGAGGTTAAGGCAGGAAAAGTTACTGATTTTTCTGAGGTCTGACTTGGGCCTGGAGAGATGGTTGCGTTTGGTTTGCATATCCCTGCTCACAGGACTCCCAGCATGTCTCCTGTATTATTTGCTTAATTTTTGTTTGCCTGCCTTGGTGAGACAAAAAATGTGAAATGGAACAAGTGCGTGTCTCTCCTAGTTTTTAACTCTACTGTTTAGTAATTCTGTGATAACGTTTGCGTCTGGTTTTGTGTCATTTAACTCGAGCTTCCAGTGATTCTGGGTTTTGATGGATTAGAGCTTTCTGCCAACTCTTCTCACTTGCACGCATTTACAGCCTGTGGCATGTCACCCCTTGACCTCCCTTTGGGTAAAGAAAGCGGATGAGTTTCTTGGGGTAGGGAGGAGCACAGCTTGCAAAATGAGGGCGAGCAAGTGAGACAAAGGGTAATTATCGTGGTCGTCAGCTTTACCCACCTTTGAGGATGGTGATATCGATAGTGGGCTGGACTTTGGGTACCGAATAGGCAGGGTCGCTGCTCATCCTCGTGTATCGGGAGGAGATGATGGAGATGGGCTGCTCCGAAGGCCCGCAGCATCGCACACACGAGAGCCGCCGTGTTTCCCGTCTCGGCAGAGCCTTTTCCAGCACGGCCCCGACGTTGGCGGTGGACACCAAGAGCAGGAGAAACGCCGCGCTCATCTTCAGCAGCGCCAGCTGGACGGACCGAAGGAACAGAAATGATTAACACGGTGATTCAAATCAGAGCTTCTGACGGGCCATCTGTTAATGTTACCGCAAGGTGCATTTCTTCTGATTAATTATTAGCTTATCTTGTAGTGGCACCGGGAGACTCCAGGTAGGAAGGGTGCCCCACTGCGTACTGTTTACAGTCAACGGAAGAGGCAATCCCTGTCTCATTACCTGCAGTTGAAATATCTGACAAGAGACACCAGGTAAACAAAACAAAGAAAAAAAAAAAAACAAAACAAAACAAAACCTGCTGAGATCGGAAGCTGAGGCTGAGATGCTTAAAGCCGTCATAGCAAGCTCTGCCCAAGGCACACTCGCTGCCCGACCGCTGTTGGAACAGCCCTCGCAAAAGGTGCTGGGTGAACTGTACAAGATCTTGATCTGCTTTTTCTTATTGCATTGCCGTCTTGAAAAAATTGAAAGTCAGATGCAGAAAATGAAACTTTATTTAAACACAGAGCCTAAACTTTTCTTAAGAAAAAAATCTCAAGGGAAATGAAACAAAAAGAAATCAAAAGCATTTGCCTCCTTGGGATAGTCTCTCGCAGCATCTTGCTGGTAACCTCTTTCCAAGGTGACTTCACCAAGCAGTTCGTGGCTTTGACCATACCCATGGTCTCTTCCTAACAGAATTTCTGTGTATGTTTTCCATTTTTATTTTCCAGTGTGCAGAATGGAAAGCTAAATAGCTGCAACAAACAGACTGATCTGGGATTTGCTCTGCACAAACCACTAATTTTTTAGATGATCTATTACATTTTAATCTGCTACTGGCAAGCTCCAAAGGCCCTGAAAACTGGGTAAAATAAGCAGAAAAAAAATGTTTCAGGTGGTGCAAAGGAGGCGAGTTTTCTCTATCTCCCCATCAGCCTCCTTCCTAGGGGGGGATTGGAGGCAGAGACGGGCAACTGCCTCCTCATACCAGGTATAATTGGTGTCATTCTACTGACTGCAGTGGTGTTTCATACAGGACAGATTTTGGACCGTGGCTTTTTGGATGTTATCCAAAGTCCAATTAGTCAGATGGATTCTTGTTGACCTCAGGTTGGGAACAGCTTCTACAGCTCCTCCTCTGCCATCTTTCCTTCCTGGAATAGGTAGGGAAGGTGGTAGCTAGATGTCCTGGCTTTCAGAAATAGCTCCATGAACACACAGGTCCTATTTGCAGAGGGAGGGAGGGAGGGAGGGAATCCTGCCTTGGAGCTCTGCGGGGACTTCACTGGACCCAAAATGGACCAGCTGAGAAAATATGGAAAAAAGAGTGTCAGTATGGGGGAAGACGTTTGGATTCTACTGGCATTCTTATGAGATGCTTTCTTCTAGTTCTTACCTGCCCCAAAAGAACTGTCATTCACACCTTTTATTACTTGGTGTAATCTAGCTCCCTGGAAACCTGATGAATACTTATTAGCAGCAACATAATAACTTTCCTTCTGACAGTAGTGAAAGTTCTTTCATCAAATCTGTCATAACTTGAAATGATCTTTCTATTCATAATTGTACCTCATTCTAGGTACAAGTCTGAGGAGGGATTAATACTCCTTTTATATCAGCGTTCAGGGGCTGAATTTAATTTTCATTAAGCCCTTTTTAATTTTCATTCTCTTCTTAAGCCATCTTTGCGCTGCCAAACAGGAACAGAAATGCAATGCAAGTCTAAATGGACAGCAGGTCATAAATAACCAGCCTGTACGTGACCAGAACAGAAAGTTTGCATCACAGAGAGTATTTGGGGTCCACATAATGTTTCTGGGGTCTCCTCTTCTCTGATTAAAATCTGTGCATATACGTAACGGTCTAAAGAGGACTGCATGCTCACTCTGAGTCCCAGGCAATCAGGGCCAATGTAGCCTCTTTGGGACTAAAAGCTGTTTAGCCCTCCTTAGGCGTGTGGGTAGTCAGTAACCTGGGGATATAAAATATAGGCATTCGATTACATTATCTGAACATTAAAACCAAAGGACTTAATTGCTCATAATGCCTTCATGAAGGAGAAAGAGCATTCATTTAGAAGGATATTAATAATAGGCAGAAGGGAAAGAATTCATAAATATGAAGAAATTACTTTACATTTTCATAGGCCATTATTCTCCCTACGATGAATGACTCTTCCTATTTTTAGAAGTGATTTAAGGAAAGTCTGGGTGAAAAATCAGTGTTGAAGAAATTGTGACCACTTGCAGGGTTCATGAAGAACAATTACTCAAGCTATTGGCTAGAAATTGCATTGGGAAAAAAATAAAAATGAAGTAAACAATGCAACAGTCCAGTCAATTCAGGGCATCCTAGAGCTGACACGCACACACCACATTTTCCTTCAGAAGTTAGTGAAGTTAGTTCACTAACGTGGCAGAAACATGTATTTGGTTGCAATAGCTGTGGGTAGGTGAAACCTTAATGATGGATGTGAATAAACAGAGTTTCAGACCTGCAGTCTGCTCATAACAGAAGAAAGGACAGGAGAATAAGTAAAATAGGAAAGAGGTGGAGAGAAAGGAGTCCAAGAGGACTACAAGAAAAGAATGATGAATTCAGCAGCATAAGATTATGTTTGAAAGACATCCAGCACAAAACTGAAGATCAAGCGAAGGAAAACCTCAAACCAGAGAAATCAAATATGCAACAGGAAAGGAAATAAACCTCTTAAGGATTTTCTTGTAACAAGATCATGTCAATCTGGAGAAAAGAATGATTTGAGCCAAATTTCAGAGGAGATGCAAAGGTAAATCTTGTGGTGGTGGTGAAGTCAAATCTGATGCCTTAGAGAAAAAAAAAAAAAAAAAAAAAGAGATGATGCAAAAAGGATGAAGCTCAGAATTTAAGATCGGTGAGGTAAAGTGAGAGGTTGCTTTTAGCCATTTGTTTTTTTATCCCTTAAAGATAATTATTGTAGTCAGAGCCCAGGCCAAGAGGCTGCCTCTCCCTCACATCATTCAGATCCCTGCATCACAGACATCCATCCTCCTTCCCACCACCATCTGACATGCTCATTAGTGCCTGAAATGATGTATTAGTACCGCACTGAATACCCCGAGGCTACAAAACTAAGAATGTTTCTCCTTGGTCATCCTTCACAACACCTCTCTGGAGATGGACAGGATCATCCTGAAAGCAACAGATTAAAACTGGCCATATAAATTATTGTCTTTTTGTTCCATACAAAGGAAGCTGCAAATTGCAACCTAGTTTGATTCAGAAGTCTTGGTTTTTCTATTAGAAAACCCCAGAGATGATGACAGGTGCGCAGCCAACCTCATGGCTGGGAGGAAAACTGGTGTCCTGTCCTTCGAAACTTTGCAGACTGTAAATATTTTACCTGAGGACAAGAAGATGGTCTTGGCCCTCCCTCTCTCAAAACCATTCTTTTGGCTCAGCTTCTTTGACTCTGCTTTATCTAAGGTTCATTTTGAAATGGTTGATTGACAACTGATGAGTTTGAAATGTTTCAGTTTAAAAGCTTGTGGCGACGTGTAGAAAAATGTGAATTGTTTTGATGCTTCTGACACTTCTTCCAAAGTGCTTGCAAAGCAGAAATCTCCCCGCGAGGCTGAGCACACAGCCTGTTTGGTTGCAACAGGTAATTTCAAGATAAATTATTTGCTCTTCCCATAACACTCTCAAGCATCCTCACTCCAAAGCCATGAAGCACAGCACAGCCCCAGCCTCTGCAAGTGGAACCAGGATGAAACCCAACAACCAAGTGTGAATTTAATCGAAGGAAAAAATTCTGTGTATGCTAAATGGGCAGATTTATCTTTTGGGCAATATTTTGGCAAACGAAATGAAAATCTATGAATGATGAAACGAGACATCTGAGCCTGATGAAAAGGCAGTGTATTTCAGTGAATTTTGGTGATGAGGATGGCTGGTGGCTGTGTTCATTATAACATTAGGATATATGTTATTGTTGGAGAGCTGTATAAATATAATGAAAGGTTTCTTTGATTGAAACCACCCTTTAGCTAAGGTTTAAAAATACTATTTGCTTTTTTTTCCCCTTTCCTTCCCCTCTGAATTTCTATGTAGAAAGACAAGATTAAAATATTACAGAAATGGATTGTTTGTTCAGGTATTTCTACCTGTCCTGAAACAAGAAGAAAAAGCAAGTGAAAATACAAGTTTCCTTGCATTAAATTCAAACACCCCCATTGTTCAGGGCCTTTTGAAAAGGTGTGTCTGTCTGTCTAACCGGAGCTGGCAATATGACCCCTTTGATGGGGTCTGCCTCTCAGTGAGGATGCAATGCCCAAACCAGGGACTGGTGTCTATCATGCTCAATCCGAGGCAGAACAGATGACTAAATAACATATTTTTGCTCTCCATTGACCTTGGAAGTACCCTGACTTAAATATAATCACTCAAGCTTTTATTTACGCATTTTTTACCTGCTGTGAATAACCTGCATCAAAAGCGCTGGTTTTCCAGCAACGCCTGGCATTCCTGGTGTCTGCTAGCAAAAAAAGCCAAATTCCTCCCATGCAGGGCTTTAGAGATGCCACAAAACTTTTCTGGGAAAGGGCAGAAAACATTAGTTCCAGTACAGGGAGTTAAATTATGTGATTCTTTCTTCTTGTGTGCAACTTCTTATTTAAATATATTTTCTTGACACTATTACAGCTGGAGAGAGCACCTTGATTGATTTTTTTTTTTTTTTTTTTTTGGTTCATGATTGAATTTAATCTTATAGCTCAAGGTAGACATCTTATGTATGAGGCACATTTGCTCATGCAAAGCTTTTTAATCATTCTGTGTACCTGAAGAATTTTAACACTTTGATATAAAGTAACACATCTGGGTAATAGAAACTATAAGAAATCCCCATAATATCTGCAAAAATAGATTACTTGCTCTGCACGCAGAAAAAAATAAAGCAAGAAAGCAAAGCAAGTCAGCTGGACCAAAAGGTTTTCCCTATGGTTAGCAATGTGGAGTTTGCAACCTGAACCCTAATCTTGGCCAAACCTTGTCTGGCCCGTCGGCACTGCCAGCAGCCCCCGTGGGATGTATAGGTCACGTCAAAGGTGCAGATTTACCCCAGCCCATGTTTTCACTGGGTACAGTGGAGGTATGGCCTGACCTTGCAGGGATGCTCAAAGAATAAATCCCAGTAGTAACTGTGCTGAGCTCACACGCTGCGATATCGAGAGCTCACGAGGCAGAAATTGCTCTTGGATGCCTGAGCTGCACTTTAAATTTCTGCTAACATTTTCCTTCCTGTTACTCCCAGGGCTTTACTCAGGAAAAGAAATCTATGACTATCTTTGCTTTAAATTCACAGCTCACAGGATGACGCTAGCCACTGCCCGTTTTAATCAGTGACAAATCTTGACTGAAAACCCGAGAGGGTAGTTAAGACTAAAACCTTTCTTGAGCCACATAGATGGAAAACACATGAATGTGTCAGTCGCAAACTTCAGCATCGCTCCAGAGATGGAAAATATTCTGGTTCTGCTTTTTTACCTTTTGTCTTCTTTCAAGTCTTGACCTCCTCACTGCTCCACAGCTCCTTGCATCGCCAGCAGCAGGAAACGAAGCATCATTAGAGCCGGGTTTGTCTGGACACTGGACTTCCTCTTGGAAATTATTTGTTCGGGATTTTTTTTTTATTTTCTTCCCCAGGAGGATCTAAAATTTCTTCATGAGCAGCTTATTGTAGAAAATACCAAAACACTGAAGGAGTCTGTGCGTTTTCTGAGGTAAAGCAGCGACAGCTCAGGGGGTTCCTCTCCCTGCGGTGCCAGAATCGAGCGCGGGGCAGCTCCTCTCCAACACGATGCCACAGAGATGCTTTGCTCGAGCTGAGAGCATCAGGAGCCTGTCTGCAGCCACGAAGTGATTTGAGGGCTCACAGACAAGAATATTTGGATCCCAAAAAGCAACACGGTTTAAAAATTTCCGCTGACTGTAGCGGTTTGCAGATGACCGACTTTAACGCCCTCTTGTCCGTGGGGTTTATATAACGCCGTGGGGCGATGCAGAAGAGGGGTTGGGAGTGCTGCTAGAGGCAGCCGGGTGGGTTTGAGCCCTGTGAGTTGTGAGTGGGGCAGGAATGGAGACAAAGCCAGGATGCGGCCGTGGAGAGGTGCAGGGGGTGTTGGCTCCATCCATATTTGTAACGGCCTGCGTGAACTTTTGGTCTGTGAGTTTGTAGTTCCGTTTCTAATTTCCTGCTTTGAGTTTTATTTTCTGGTGCTTTCTTAGTGTGTGGCTATTTCCAATGTGGGTGAATTGCCCTAATTCCTCTGTCCCGGGAGGGGCTGTGAAAACACCTTCACCCCTACTATTACGTGCTCCTGAGCAGCAGCAGCTTGCACGGTCACCACGTGCTCTCTCCAGCTGCGATTTCACCTACCAGGTGTGGGAAGAGATGAGGATCCCAAGCAAACATCCCTTCCTAGTTACCTGCACATGCTTAGACCCGGGGGACTGTGTAAATTTAACATAGTGCCCTGCAGGCACTATGGGAGGAGAGGCTGTGCCTGTATGGAAACTGTCCCGGGCACCTGCATCTTTGCACGGTACCACCTCTCCCAGTCTGCAGCAGGGGCTCTTATCACACATATCTCAGCACAGACAGGCAGCAAAAGGATGTTTTCTGGTTCCTAAGCAAGCAGCTCTTCCCTCTGTCCTCCTCCTCGTCCCTGCCTGCACTTCTAGTGCCAGGAACATGCCTGCAATGTCCTGGAAATGGCCCCGCTCCGTGCCGGGCGGCTCTTTGAAAGCGGTCCCGTCTCCATAGCAAGCCCAGATGGTGATTCAGCCCCGCGCTGCCGAGGCTCAGGGCGAGGTACGGTAAGTCATTCCCAGGGCAGCTTCTCCCCTTGAGAAAATCACCGTGATGAAGTGGACGGCACCCAACTCTCCTTCACCCTTCCCAGCCGAAAGGCAGCTTTCCCCCTGACTTGCCACCGCTGACTCAGTCTCTCCGGGAACGTGGCTTTCAGTGATTCCAAAATAAATCAGGCAGAGGTGACCCTGGAGCGGGTCCTGTGAGGTGCTGTCCCGCCTGGCTGGCTGGGAGCACCAGGACGTGGGTGCTGGCGGTGGCAGGACTGTCCCGTCCCCGCTGCAAACCCCTGCTCGTGGCTCAGGAGCGAGCAGCACGTTTCGAACAGCTGCTGTTCCCCGGCGAGGCTGGAGAAGTAGAGTCCCAGGAAAGTTTCCACGCCTGAGGAGAACACCAGGAAACAGCTCTTTCCTGCCCCGGGCTCTCGTGGTGGCGGGGGGAGCCTGCATCAGCTCGGGCACCGTCCCCATCCCGCTGCTCAGCCACAGCTAAGAGCAAAATCAGTCTAGAAGAAAGCATCTGCAGAGCTAAGGGTAGTCAGTGAAGCAAGGAGTCTTAGTAGTAATAAATTAAAGCCAGCTCAGCAATAACCTGGCCTTGCACTTATTTCCCCTGCTTAACTACAGAAGCAGAAAAAGTGAGATGAAGCAGGGCAGTCAGAGACCACCGTTTTTAATAACTCACCCAAGCAAGCTGCTTCTGCAGGGTGGAAACACTTTGTTCCCTATAGCATCGGTATTTTTTTCCCCAAACTTATTCATATCCATTTAACTTACCTTGTGATTCAGAACCCTGTCTCTTACTTTCCTTGCTGTTGCTTAGCAGGATGCATAATATGAAAGCTGTCGTTCATTCAGGTTTTTTAGTCCTCAGTGGTGGCTGCAGCTTCCTAGCTAGAGTCCAAATGAAACACTGAAAGTCAGTCCGGCTCCTTATGAAACCCAGCAGCTAGGTTGTTTGCAAAATCAGGGATTTTTTTTGTTTCTCTGCTTGCATCAACTTGTGCTGAGTTTTTGTGCTTTCGTCCTGCTGTAGTTTCCTTAGGACTCACAGCCAGTCTGTCGGGTTGCACGGTGCCTCTCACAATGATGGAAATGAAGACCAAAAAATTTGTGAATAGAAAAAAAAAAAAAAAATCAAAATCAAAAACCACAAACCCAAAACCACATCCAGTGTTCCAGCCAAGAGAGAAAGTGCTGGGATCGCATGGAAATAATTTTTCTTTGGGAGACTTCAGCATCTCTTTAGGCGGGAGAATGGAGAAAAAAAAACACAAAACCAAACCCACAATAAAAATGGCTTTTATACATGAGCTGTAAAGGTGGAAAAAGCCTCTTGAAGGGATGCAGCATTGGAAACTGCCCCTGCAGTGACCCTGGGGGAAGGTGTAGGTGCACAGCCAGGTGCCTGGGGACAGGCCAGTGCTAAGGGAAGGTGTCACCCCCGCTGTCCCACGCACCTCCCTGCTGGAAAACAGCACTTTGCTTCTCCGTGAGCAGATTCGGGGCCAGTCTCGGGAAGGTGATGTGCAGCTGCAATATGCTGGTTTTTCCCCCCTGCTTCACAGGTTGAGGGGAGAACACCTTGTGCCAAACTGCTCACAGCAGGATGCGATGAGTATTAGCACCTTCTGAGTGGGAAGGGAAGGGCAAACACAAGCACAGGTGAAACTGCCCCAGCATCTGTTTAACAGACAGTTTTCTCTCATTGCTACCTGTTTGCTAACGTATTTTGCACTACCTCTTCCACGACCCCCAGAAATGGCTGGAGAGCAAGTTTGCCATTATTTCACATTAATTATGACTGAATTACCGACTCGCCCGGCCAGCTGCAGCAATTACAGCCGGGGTGCCGTGAGGGTCTGGGTGGGACAGGAGGTGGGGAGATGGTCTCCGAAGGAGGCTGAGCAGAGGGCATCTTCAGAGAAGCCCTTTAGCCCTGTCCTGCCCGGGCTGGCCCATCTGCAGAGGAGCTCGCGGTGGTCCTGGCCGCGTGCGAGTCCCTGGGGAGGGCTGGTGGCCACCGTGGTGCCAACGATTTCTCAGCTGAAACCGCAAACTCGGTCATCTCCAACCCTTGGAAACAAGCACATTGGTGGCTTTATATAAAATCAGGTTTGGGCTCTGAATTTTTGGTTTGTTTGCTCGCTTTGTTTTTGTTGGCGGTGGTTGGTTGGTTTTTGCTTTGCTTTCTTTTGTTTTGTTTTGCTTTTTCTTCTTTCTTTTTCCTTTTTCTGTTTTGCGACTGCCTCCCATTAATTGCAAAAGAGGAAGATAAAAGAGATGGGCACCCCACACAGCGCAAGCTCCAGCATCATTCCTGCATTAAGACTGAAAAAGAAAAGCCGTGCTTTTGCTTGTCCTGAGAACATCAGGAGGGGAAGACTGTGTTTTGTCCTCTCACAGTGCTCTTCCCCACCTCAGGTCACAAGTCAGTGCTTTAAATATTCCTACCCTGTAGTCCTCCTGCTCTGCTGCCTGCCCTACGCCAGACCCCAGCACTTCACACCTCACCAGTCTTCAGGGCCACGTGCCGGCAAGTCATGCCTTTTTATTTTTATTTAAAAAAAAAAAACAAAACAGTCTCTGCCTTATGAAAGGAGGGTTGAGATGTGAGACCACCTTGGGAACCTCTCTGCTTTTTCAAATCCCCATCCAAACCTCCCCATCCCTCCCTGACCCAGCCGGGCAGGGGCTATCTCAGCTGAAGTCCTCCGAAAGGTCCCCCCCCATCTCTGCTCCAGGTGCTGATGCACCCCAGCTCCTAAATACTCCGCACCGCTGTACCACTGCCCAGCAGTCGCCCGTCCCCCCATAGCTCAGAGCCCTGGATCAGAGGCAGGAGACAGCTGTCACAACATAAAAAGGGTTTTACACATCTCTCCAGAATGAAATAAGAAATAAAACAACCTTTAAAGCTGTTGGTGGACCTGGGTTATATAAGGGAGAGCTCAAATTGTTTGCAGATGACTTATGCTGGGAATGTTTTTATATTGGTGTTGTGTTAGATAAAACTAGCAGGTGATTAAAACAGACTGCAGCATGATTTTTTTTTTTTTTTTTTTTTTTTTTTAAATTCATAAATCTGCATCCAGAGTACCGAGGAGAGGGTCTAGGGGCTGTTGGGGAGCGAGGGCTGCCCCCGTATCAAGGGGGAGGGAAGATTTACATGTGCTGCTGGTGCCGTACTGGGAGGCTCTGTTAGCAAGGACCAGTGAGGCGAAATGTAGAGTTTTGCTGCTGTCCTGGCATGAACCCGAGCAGCGTCCAGCTCTGCATGACTCACCTTCCAGTGCTGGGCTCCTCCAACCCAGCCTTCCTGGAGCCCCCCTGTCCCCATCCCTGTCCCCATCCCTGTCCCCATCCCAGTCCCTCACTCGTGGACAGGAGCAGACTGCTCTGGGCAGAAGCCACTTGGAAACAGGCACATGGAGTCCTGGGCAGCAAGGGGGGAAATGCAGCCACAGCCTTCCCAAAGCTGCCAGGAAAAGAAAAACCTTACTCATGCTCTTCTTGGAGGGACCTCAGTCTCGGAGAAAACAAATGGCTTTGCCTCACAAATGCCAACCGAAAGCCTTCCCTGTCATCTTCTCTGTTCTGGTTTAAGCACAAAATTTGTGTAATATTTTCTCACCCATCATGTTCCCCAGGTACCCTCCTCTCCTCTTGGCACTGGTCAACACCTTTCATGGAAGGGAGAGGTTCCTCCGTGGACCCTGCACTGATGCCTCCGAAGCTGCC